AGAGTTACAAGTCTGAAGAGTCATTCTTTAGAGTTATACTTCAAAGTTCACTTCAGAGTTACAAGTATGAAGAGTCATTCTTCAGAGTTATACTTATACCCAATATCTTGAAAAATATTTCATGGGTAAAACTTGCATCATACAGAGCAAGACCAACCAGAGCTCGTCTGATCCTCAAGGACAGAGCCCCTCTGGTCTTACCAACCAGAGCATGGCCAACCACAAGCAAGGCCAACCAAAAGCAAGGGTCAACCAGAGGAGGCCTTCCTTCTGGTCTTACCAACCACAGCCCCACCAAAACCCTTTTATAAAACTCAAATTTGTAAATATAATGTGTTGACAAAATAATCCTCTTTTGCCACATCAAACCACAAAATACCCATTTATCGCATAACACACGAACTCAAAAACAAACCATATTTTCCTCATGACACCTTGGGTTAGACAACCCCATTTCCTCGCAACACACTGGTGCAGGAACCCATCTCATCGCAACATACTGGTGCGATCACAACACACTTCATCGCATCAAAGCCCAGACCCAGAGGCAAGACCAACCAGAGCCCCTCTCGTCAACCAGAGCCTCTTGGTTCGTTTATCCAGAGCCTCTGGGTCAAGAAAATGTTTAATACTCAAAGATTTGGGTTTCAAATATATCCAGAGACCCTCTGGTTAACATTAAGATCAACTAGAGCCCCTCTGGTTCCTTTTTCCAAGGTTCAAATGAACAACCAGAAGCAAAGCCATTCAAAAGCCAGACCAACCAGAGACCAACCAGAGGCCCTCTGGTCAACCAGAGCCCCTCTCGTCCTTAAAACAATAACAAGTTTACTTCATCACTTCAATAGGATGTGATAACCCAAGTCCTCACATCACACAGATGCGATAACTCAAGGTCATCACATCACAAGGATACGATAAATATGAATGTGGTCACAACCCAAATTTCACAACTCATTGCATTTGTCCGAAATTCATAACATTATGCACACCACTCAGAAGCAAGGCCATCCCAGTAGATGACCACCCAGAAGCAAGACCTTCCTAGTAAAAGGTCATCTCAGATCCCAATATACTCAGCTCTTTGATATGCCACCCTTATTTCCACACATGATATAATCATGATAGAAATCCACCCTTTTTGCCAATAATGGCATCAAACTGTTTTATCTCAAAATCTCATATAAAGAACCATGCAATTCTTATACCCAGTTCCATATAAGGATAACATTAAAACTAAAACTCACCATCATTGTGCTTGATGCACGTTGGAGTATATGGCTGAGGTCATTTGTTTCAGTTTGATGCATGTAGGGCTACTTGACCGGTGACACAGGGCTACATGGCAGCATGTCAAAAACTCATTCTCTTCGTTGTTTTAAAAAGGAAGACGTGAACTTGGGGAGTACTATCTGTTGGTAACGTAAGGCTCTGTGAACTCCAAGACTATTATCACATGAATGATATAGCCTACAGTGCTTTAAGTCAACACTATTCCTGAAAAACAATTTAGTAATCCTCCAAGATTCAGTAGACTCCTTTAAGCTAATATAGCTTAGGAAATAGAAGAAAAATAAATCATATCGAACCCTGCAAGAAGTGACATGTATATCATAAGGAAAGTGTAGAGATACAATTACAGAAAGATGAAACTTTAGCAGAGAATTGCAGAGAGAGTATATGTGTATTCTACATACGAAGTGATGCATATTTATACTGAGAAAAAAGAACAGTTGTAGGAAACTGATTTTGGTGAGGCAAATCTGGGAAATCCCTTAAAAGTATGGAGTAACTGCTTTCGGCTTTGAAATGGTTAAGGTGACTGTTTTTCAGGTAAAAGAATAATTTCTTATAGAATACTAGATGTAAAATCATTTACAACAGATAAAGCATGATTGAAGGTGTTCCATCTTACTTTTATCGTTTTTCCATTAACATTTTTGGTGTTGTATCATAGTCATCATGGTAATGAATGAGAACTTGTTAGCAGCTGTGACGTGTTTCCTCTTTTACAGGTTTTATCATGCATATGACAACTATATGGTATATGCATTTCCTGTAAGTACCCAACCTTCTATCAACACATGTTCTTCTTTGAAGACTCGGTGCGATTTTCATCCAAAGTAATATACTAATCTATTCATGGTTTTGCAGCATGATGAATTAAAACCCATGACCAAAACTTTCACCGACTCTCTTAGTGAGCTTGGGAATTTGAAGGTTGTAACATCTTCAGCTAGTCCAGTGATGATCAATACATAACCTGCGGTGAAAGCTAATCTTCCTTCTTTTTCGTTTTTAGCTTGAAAACTTACCCCAAGGATACAATGGATCAGCACTTACGCTTGTTGAATCATTGTCCAGGTACTATATGCTTCTTTAATCCTCATAAAGTTTGGGCCATCAATATCTTGTTCTCCTTACATTGGTCAGCCTACCTTCTTGTTCCAACTGATGCTAGTAAGCTTTTTGCTTGCTTCTCTTTTTCTTGCAGTCTTGTAATATTGGGTAACAACACAGAATTCGAAAAGGCAGTTATATGGCTTTCAGAAAATCTATCGTTTGATGTTGATGCAAGGATTAATCTTTTTGAGGTACTTAACACATTTACTTGAATCCATTTGGTATAATTTGTTTTTGTAGCTTAAACTTGACTTCCTTTTCCTCGTACCCCATCGTGATGATAATTACCTTTCAAGGATGACCAAGCAAAAGTCTATTTTCTGAAGTGAACTTCAGTTTCATATTTTCAATTGAAAAAACATATATTTCTGCATAGAATAATATTCATTTCTAGTTTTTGTTGGGTATCAGTAATATAAAGCGGGATAATCCTCCAAAAAGTTTATTCATGACTAAATTGTTGCAAGTTGAGGTGGCTGGTAATTTTGCATGCTCTCTAAGCTTCATAAAGGATTGATCTTTACTATAGCCAATTTGAATTGGAATGCTTTTGTGGTGTGTAATCCCCTTGATCGTTATTGTGTAGTGCAACATAAGACTTCTTGGAGGACTTGTCTCTGCTCATATTCTTGCAACTGATTCTACAAACAGGTTGATTCAAGGTACTTACAACAATCAGCTCCTTGTTTTGGCTGAAGATTTAGGACGGCGTTTTTTACCAGCTTTTAATACACCCACTAGTTTGCCTTATGCCTGGATTAACTTGAAGGTATTTCTCTCATATTACTAAAAAACCTTTCATCCTTCACATAGTAATTTCATGAGATTTATGACACCTCACTGAATGCAAAATTCTTTGGGCAGTATGGCATTATGGAGGATGAGACTACCGAAACAAGCACTTCTGGTTGTGGTAAGGGATCAAACTTTTTAATATTCAAACTAATGCGTCTAGGGCTTCCTGTATGAGCTATTTTTTTATGTGAATTCAGGATCACTTATTCTTGAAATGGGAGCATTATCGCGGTTAACTGGTGATGCGAGATTTGAACATGCAGCTTTGCGTGCTCTTCGTAAGTTGTGGGGTATGCGGAGTTCTCTAAACCTTCTGGGAACTACACTGGATGTAGCAACTGGAGAATGGATCGAATACTCCTCCGGAATTGGTGCTGGTACGTTCTGTTCTACCTATGTTCTTCTGGTAATGAATAATAATCTTGATCATGCAGGGATTTAACGATTCTATCTTTGATTTTAGATCTTGTTCTTTCTATATTCTGATGCTAGATTTATTTGTAACAGGGGTTGATTCTTTTTACGAGTATTTAATCAAAGCTCACATTCTGTTTGGAAAAGAGGAATTTTGGCGGATGTTCCAGACAGCATATCTTGGTGTGCAGAAATATTTCAGATACGGTTCATGGTAATGGTTTTCTTATTTTCTCCTTATCAAAGTAATTACTGTTATTTTGGTGCTCCCTCATAAGGTTGAATTTGTTTCTCCTTGATCCCTTTCAAGAATGTTGAAAAGTCTCGTTCCCAATTTTTTTTTTCAATTTGAAACTTGAAGTGTGTCGTTATAATTGAAACACGGCTGCTTTGAACTTTTAGGCATGTCGCAATGTAGCACCAACTTTGACACCTGATAAGCGACTAGCAATTGCTATTCATCATTTATATTTTTTAACACATGTTAAATATGTAAAAGAGCCAACTAGAATCTTTGCTGTTTCCTACATATGCAGAAAATGTCGCTGTAAGATGAGTATGCTGGAAACTCTTCTTTTTCTTCTTTTTTCTCTTTGAGAATCGAAGGATTCCATTAGAATTCTAGCTCAAATGCTTTAAACTCCTAGGCTTATTGCAATGCAGCTCAAAGTTTGACACCTAATAGCACATCCTTTTCCAAAATGATGCATCTTAAATTTCGGATCAGCTAGGATGCATTGAATTTACGGATGCACTTTTAGAACTAATAATGAAAATTGCTGGTTCAAAGATCAAACACTGATCTATTACATAGAAGTTAAATTTCACCTATGGATTAACTAGAAAAGCAGGGACTTCATAATGCTTAAACATCAGCTGAATCATCTTTAAGGAAAGAAGAAAATAAGGATCACAGTTGCACTTGCTGCATAAGACCTGGTCAAAAATCACCCACTTGGTGCTTTAAGATATCATTTGGGTGCTTACTTCAAATATGTTGTGCGTTGACTGCTGATTTATTTTTTCACATATAAGATGGGTATTATAGTATAGGGGCATGGTGAAAATGGCACAAGTCACTGTAGGGTTTTGGTGAACTAACAGTTGGAAAAAGAACCAGCTAGAAACTTGTAATGGTTCCTACATCTGTAGAAAATGTTAGACTGCATATGTAAGATAAGCATGTTTGAATTGCTGCTGCTTCATAGACTATAGACATTGGCCAAATTAACCAAACCAAACAGACCCAATATATCCCACCCGAAGGTAGGGTCTAGGGGATAAGATGTATGCAGACCTAACCTCTGTCCCACGAGACAGATGTTTCCAAGAACACCCCTGGCTAGCATAAAAGGAAGGGAAACATATCTAGAAAACACAATGATAGGCCACATATATGCAACAGAGTTACAAGAGAATGTAGAGAGCCTAACAAGATAAGAAGCATATTATGCATACCAAGGAAACTCCCTATCCTACTTGGTCAAATATGGAACATAATTTAGAGTATCCAACTCTTCATTGTAGGTATCATGAAGCTGATATGAGAACAGGAAGAGCAACTTACTGGCAACTTACAAGTCTTCAAGCATTTTGGCCCGGTGTACAGGTAAGTGACACTTGAAACATCATCCCACAACATTGGTGACTACACCACTTTCTTATAATTAGTCTTGTTATTAGGTTCTTGTTGGGGATCTTGCAGCAGCTAATTTAACACATCGTGAATTTTTTCATGTGTGGAAAAAATTTGGAGTGCTTCCAGAGAGGTATGAAGCCTCAACCCTTTAATGTGTTACAATTTGTGCCTCATTTTCCACTGCTTTCTGCACTTCTATCCTAAACCTACAAACTGGCGGATGAAAATAATGGCAAATTTTGAAACTATTCAGATATCTCTTGGATCATCAGATCGTGCACCCTACAGAAAAATATTATCCTCTACGTCCAGAGTTGGCAGAGTCGACATATTACTTGTATCAGGCAACAAAAGGTTTGCTACTGTTTGTTTCATTCTTTCTTTTAGAAGTAATAATGCTCTCAATTGTGCACGTGTGTACTTAGCCCATAAGTAATACGTCCTCCCATGAAAATTTCAGTGATTCCCATTTTCGGATGTCACATGGAAAATGCAACGCTCTAGTTTTTGGGAAGTTTTCTAGTAATATTTCTGTGTGCATTATCATCATCACCAGAAAGTAATGATATTGATATAGATCTACACAATTCTCTTATTTTATCCATATTTAAGGGTATTTAACAAATAGCCAAACACTATAACTTTTTCATGGGATACAGGGAGTAGGTCATCGAACTCTTTTTTCTACTACTAAACCTCTGCTTCTATTGTGAAATGTACCCCCATGATTATTGTGAAAGTAGTTTAAGATTGCACTTTGAGCTTGATGGAAGCCTTCTTATGATTACATATAGCTAATCAACCAAGAAATGCCATTCATGAACATCTTGGTTTGGAGAGGGGAAGAGGACTCAATATGTGGATAATATTACTAATTCCATGGGACCCAACAGTTCCCTAGCCTTATAATATTGTTTCCGATGATAAGTTATCTATTTCTTTCTACCAGACCCCTGGTACTTGGAAGTTGGTGAAGCGATTGTAGATTCCCTTAATTTACACACTAAAGTTGACGGTGGATTTGCAAGTGTTAAAGATGTAACAACTATGCAATTAGAAGATCACCAGCATAGTTTCTTCCTGGCTGAAACGTAAGAACACTGCAGACATACTGCTACATGCATTTTTTCTTTGCAATATATGCTCCCTCCTTTCCAAAAGAGTTGCAAAATTGAATTTTGAGGTCAAACCTTTTATTTTTCAAATCCAAAATTAAATATGGGTTTCTTTGGCATCTTTTAATTAACGTATTACTATTAGTGGGTATGTTTTGTAAGGTTTACTACATGTATCAAAATGTTTCTTGATAATTTAAGAAGTTTGTATCAATTTATGAAGTCGACCCGACTACCTTAAAAGTCGAAACGATACCTTTCTCTTTGAATGGAAAAAGAGTATCTGCTTTTTTACTTGAAACAACAAGAACCTGCTAGCCTACTCCTTTTGTCTCGTGAAAATTGCAGCATTTACATTCAAGGAGGTTCTCAGGTTATAACTACTTATATTTCTTTGTCGAAAAATGTTCCTTAATTTTTCTGTTATTCACGTGTATTTAAATATTTGACAAGCAGTGAAATGATACAATTTTCATGGGTCAGGGGAGGTAGAAGTTTTCCATATAGCATTTGAAATTGTTTCTGAAGTTTTTATTTCATCAATAGGTGCAAGTATCTATATCTTCTCTTCAATGATTCAGCTTTGATGGGTCGCAATTATGTCTTCACAACCGAAGGGCACCCTCTTCCTGTTTTAAGTGATTGGCATGAAAGGCTTCCTGATACATACATCCCCAGTAACTGGACCTCCATCAAGGTGCAAATTTTATAACAAGCGACTTTTCAGATCTATTTTGGTAATTCAACTTCACTGATTATGGTCCTTAAGCAGGGTCATGTAGTTAAATAACCTTAAATGATCTTTCAATTAGAAGCATGACCTTTGGAATTTTGCTTTTAACTCAATGACCTTCATATGACCTACCCTCCGGTGCTGAACTGCATCGGTGTTAAATGGTCTGCCCCTTAACACCAGAGGCAGACTGTTTAAAGGGGTAGAATTGGAATGGTGATATCAGTTGACCAAATTCCAGACTGTTTAAAGGGGTAGAATTGGAATGGTGATATCAGTTGACCAAATTCCATTCCATCATTTGGTTCACTTAAAGGTGTGGAATGGAATGCATCAAATGTTTTTGAAATCCATAAATCAAGGAATCGTCCTCTCCTTCCATGTACCCAAGGATTTCAATTCCATTGAGAACAAGAAGACCGTTTTACCCTATGACCACCAACTCCACCCACTGCCGACCACCACCATCCATCACAAAAGGTTAGTTTGTAACTTCCGTATAAGCTCAATTAACAAAATAGCTCTTCTTAATTATTACAGGTTGAAACACAAAAGAAACAAGCTAGTGCTATGTCTATGCAAGTCTGCCCAGCGAATCTATTGAACCCTGGACACGATGGTCAACAGATTGAGAGCATCTGCCATGTCCCAGACTTGCGCCATTATCACAGATGTTTAACAGACGATGACTGTGGAATTGATTCAACTAATTGTAGAAGAAGATCCTGCAGCATGGCTGGCTACTGTGGTCTGTGGTTGTTCATATGAGGTTTGCTTCGACTCGATTCAATTCAATTTGATTCATCCTGAAACAATGATTAAAACATTTTCAAGATTCTTGCTTGCATATACAGGTTAGTCTTGAAGTTATGTAACATGAAGGGTTTGATAGGATACAATAGGGAAGAGTGAAAATGTAAAGTTTGAGTAGGATAGAACATTATTGGGGCATACCCCCAGTGGAAACAGAACTTTGCTAAAGGGAACCAATTGGAAGTGTAATATCACCTGAAAGTAACCTTTTATTTATAAAATATTAAGTATTCTTGAATTGATGTCTCTTTTTCTTCTATGCAACTCAACATGTGACCTTTAATCTTTCTTTGAATGAGTGTTTAAGTCTATGTTTCTCAAGGGCTGGCAACTGGCAAGAGCAGAAAGTTACCCTAAAAAACACGGCTAAGAATCGTGTGAGAAAGAGAGTTAAGTTGAGAAGCGTAAAAATAGATCTGGACCCATGATCACCTTTAATTTCAAACTCACCCATGAATCAAGTTTGAAACGGGACTGATCGGACACATCTCATCCTAATATGCATTCAAGGGTGGAGATCCCTTCTTACGCTTCTCACCTTAACTCTCCTTCTAACATTTGCTTGTTAAGACATCAAATAGTCAAGTGTTTCCGAATTTGTTACAGCCAAAATCAGATCCTTGAAATAACTCATTCTACTTGTTCATTGTTTAATGCAAATATGTGAAACTAGCTACCAGTTTCAGAACAAGCATTCTAATGCAATCTAAATCACAATTTGAAGATAAATCATTACCGCATACGGATCCTGAGTTCAGGAAACGTTATCAAGAACCCACGTACAAAACTAGCACTACTATCGTCAATAAGCTCATAAAAATCCCACCTACGAGAACTGTATCAAGAAGCCCCAATCACGATCACGCACATTGCTTACAGCAAGTTCATGATTCCCGTTATCTTCTAATTCCACCATTGGCCGAAAAGGTTTCTTTCGCGATAATAAACCTTCAAGATTTAGGCCATTTTGATCTTCTGGATATGAATCATTTTCAGCAATATTGCAACAACCATTGCGCTCACAAGCACAAGGTTCTGGCTTTGCCGATGAACCTCCACAAGTATCTCTACGCATTTTGCTTTTGTTGTTTGTATCCTTTTTGTCACTTGGACTTGTGACCCCACTTCTATCATCGAGAATCTGGATGATGTCCCCAAAAACGGACCACCGTCCAACTGAAGTTATCTTTATCATTGCTGAAGTGAAGACCATAGTGGGTTTGTAGTTTTGTACCATCTTCAGCTTGACCATGTGAGTGCCATTCGAACCCTGGTGGTGGAATGAACTCCTCCTCATCATCTGCCGTAATATCAATATAGGTTCCTTCCTTGGGAGTCATAGGTTTGGTCTTGAAGGTGGATCGACTCCGAGTTATCCGGCGAGGTTGATGATGGTGCATGGATGCTTCGAATGGTTCTCCATTCGGCTCGTGACTTAGTTCCTGTCGGCGCCTGGGTTTAGATTTTGTAATGACCATGGTTAGGCTTAGGTACTGGGTGACTAGGTTATCGAACAGTGAATAGGTGGAGAAGGGATGGGTACGACAGGTTGACTTTACCTGTTCTGGTGAAGAAACGACGGTGTACGAGGGGCAGGTCGGCGCCGGCGCTGAAGGTTCAGCTATAGCAAACAAAAAGAGTTAGGGGAGGAGGCGTTCGATTTGAAAAGATGAAGTCTTTTCGTCTGCCTCTGCATAAAAAATGGCTACTGCCTCGAGTACCTTGTCTTCTTGATTCTTGTCGGCATTAAATGAGCCTGTTTCTTTAGGGTTTACTTCTTAATAATTCTATTAATAGACAACTATTTAATAGTTTCATTAAGATGCAACCACTGAATCGTTAAGAGATAAATTTTGTTTGGTAAAAAAAAGTATACTCCTTAATGATTCTAAAACTCTTTGAATGATTTTGTATCTTGCGCCTCTTTTAACCATTTAGCGTCTTAATTTTGTTGTAAATAATTACCAAATAATTATATTTTATTTTGTACTATATAATGAGAGCCTCTTAATCCCCACATTTTATAAACCAAAATTTATGGTAACAAAAGTTCATATTTCACAAAATTATGTTGAACGATTTTATAAAATTGAAATTTTATACATCAACCATTTTTTTTTTGCAATAATTACACCAAAAATACATGGTTTATTTGAAACCCAGATGGTGACATTAACATCCTTTACATCTTAGTTGAATCTTAAATCAACTCGGGAGAGGAAGAATCCACACCCCCTGTATATACGTCTGTGTGATTTTCCCCTCTACTTCTAAATGTGTGCGAGTTGTTTATTTCAAGAATAGGTTGAGCTGTACTTTTTCTGTTATAACTAGGAAAGTTATACTTAAGAAAGAAGGGTGCATGACAGCGAGATATGATGCGGATAGGTGGAATGGAAATTCCACTCCTTCTAGGGTGTAATTCCAAGCTCTCGTAAGAACCCCAACTATGGCAGTGAAGCCTTTATTGTGGGTATAGGAATGCAAGACGTGTTACACTATCACTTAATGATTCTATCACTTTTATACTACTACTGTAGTCTAGGCGTGAGGAATGGGACCTCCAACGCCCTACTCAAAAAGTTCGCGTGGCAGCTGGTATAGATGAATAAAGGCGGACCGTTAGAACGGGACCTATTGTCTTAATATAATAGACGGCAAAGCGATTTGAAATTTTGATTTTTCGGTTAATTTGTGGTTTTCAAAATGTGGGTAAAAAAATTAAAATGCTAAATCTAAAAGAAAGAATATATACACACAATTTGGCTTTACTAAAAGCCCACAAATTTCATGCTTTTCAGTTTTCAAAACGAACAACCTCAGAATGTTGTTGCATAATTATCAAGGGATCGAAAATGGTTTTACACTTTGTCCATTCACTTTAAACGTAGTACCCTTACCAGGATCTCAACTAGCAAAAATGAAGTATATTTCACTGAAATGAAAATGTGATAAAAATATAACGCTGTTATATAGATGAGTAAAAGGACCAGTCCTTTCGATCTTGACTGGACCTCGAAAGGACTAAATATGTCAGGGACTAGACCATGACATTATCAGTCTAGATTAGACCGTTGGTTTTTAATCGATACGATATTTATTGAGGCAGATCGAATCCCATATGGATCTTATTAAAACTCCAATTCAAATTTTCTTTTGACAAAATCAAACTATCATTGATACTCTATTGAGTTGACTTCTTTTTGTAGAATTGAATAATTATAATGTATATTGTATATAGCATAAACTCTAGTAACCTATACTATATTATAAAGCATTTGACAAAAACTCTTAAAAATCATTTTTTATGTATGAAACACTATTTATTAATGCATATTACTTAAATTTTAAGATTACAAGTAAATTGTGCACAAGTACATCTTATTAAAGCTCTATTTTGAATTCATATAACTAACTGCATATAAACATAATCAAATACATGATAAACATTTTATTTGAAATATAATTTTTCTAAAAATATAATTAGAATTATGATTGAGTTTTAGCAGAATCATTATCTTTATAAACATTATATTGTTAAGCAAAAAATAAATTACTTCATTATTAATCATAAATTAAATTATAAAAAAAAATTGAATTAAATAAATTATATAAAAAACAATAACTTTTAAATAGTTAATTTAATATTAATATCGATATATTTTTTGAAATTTTTATGATATTTTCAAATATATTTGTATTCAAGTAAAAACATTATCTTTATCAAAACCACATAAATCATACTATATCAACAGAGACAGAAGATAAATCGAAACATTAAAATAAAGATGTTCTCATTGCATTAGAGCGTAAAATGTCAATCAAATCAGTAATCTTAATTTAAAATTTTAAAAATAAGACGAACTTGTTTATTAGATTCGAGCGCTCACTGGAAACTGGAAAGGGCTAAACCGATCACAAACTCATTTAATTGATCCAATTTAAAAGTTTAGCATGCAAATGGAAATGAAAGTTTTTCTATATCGATGAAGTTTAATTCAAAGCGGAAATGAGAACGGGATTATTCACATCGTTTAGTATGATATTACGTAATGAATCATTTACCTTTTATGGGACGAAATATTATTCCTTGTTTTTGCATTCCACCTCCCCAACGTCACAAATGCCCATCTTCCGCTTCATTCCGTTATGCTTTTGCAAGAACGAGACGAAGGAACAAGAAGCACAACCCGAGTGTGATTCTGCTCCAAAAGTTTGATTGATTTTGTTGTTCTTCCTCTTTAAACCCTAGATCTGAAACCCGTCGCTCACTTCCGATTTTGCTTTTGCATTTGCGGACAAAGAATGCCATGTGATATTCTTTTGTGCGTCGATTTTTAGTCAATGATGGACAGTGGTAGTGATAAAGACGAAGACGACTACGACAGAGAAGAAATTGAACAAATTTCCGATTATGGGTTTTCTTTTATTCGATTTTGTATTTGTTCGATCGCTTGTTTTTCGATTTTCTTGGAAAAACAAAACCAATTAATTTGACATAAATAGCATTGACCGAGATGGATGGTATGAAGTCAATGGTTATCACACCAGGGGTATTATGGGAACCAAAAGGTACAGCAGAGCCACATAGGACCAAATCTATCCCTTTTGTGAAGGGTATTATAGGAATTTCTACCTCCCGAACCAATAGCTAGGGCAGAGCCGCCCTCTCCTTCTATAAATAGCCTTCTCCACCCTCCTCCATTCTTTCTTGAAACTACGCTCTTTCGGTAAATCCGAGGGCGAAAACGGAACCTCTCGAACGAGTGTGTGAAGTGAAAAACCCTTTGCGAGTTTGCAGTCAATCCAACTGTTAAATCACATCCGTAGATCGAATCATATTCTTAATTCAAAAAAAAAATATAAGCTCCTTCGATTCTGTTTGCGGTGTTTCAATACCCTAATTTTTTTGATTTTGGCCTGAAAATTACGCCGATCTGTGAATAGAGCAACGACAATGGATATACGGTTCCCGTACTCTCCTGCAGAAGTTGCAAAAGTCCGGCTGGTTCAGTTCGGCATCCTTAGTCCCGATGAAATTGTAATAACCATTTCCCCCTTTCTGTTTTTTGTCATTCTAGACGAAATTCTGGAATTCGTTCGCTTTTTTGTCCGTTTATGTTCTTTTCTTGTCTGGTCTTTTTGGTGGATGTTGGTATTTGTTTGGTTCATGGGTATTTGGCTAAGAAGTTAAGGTCAAAAAG